ATGGCCACGGCTCCCTGTGCAGACCGGGCGTGCATGTGTGTGTCAGGGCCCAGGCTAGCTGGGCTGTGGTGAACTGTGCCGCGAAGACCTTTCCCTTGGCGTGTGTGGTGGAGGCAGGGGCGGTGTGGAAGAAATGAATGCCCTGGGCCGGTAGGTGGGAGGGAGTTACGGCTCTGGATCCCAGAGGGCTGACTAGGTGGCTCGACCCCGGCCAGCACCCGTGCGTGTGTGCACAAAATCCCGGGAGGAGAATGGAGGACAAGGGACTGCAGCGAGGCCATCCCCAGTAGGGGGTGACTTCTCACCTGCCCTCTCTTTTTCTCTCTCTTTCTCTAGCAAGCGCACATGCCCGATAGCAAAAGAGAACAGTAGCTATTCCGTGTCTTTCCAAATTCAGACGGCCTATTAGCGTGTCAGCTGGCAGCACCAGGGTGCGTCAAACCCTGCACCTCTAAGTGCATCGAAGTGCAGCCGCCCACGGCACTGTCCCGACAGGCACCCGCCCTCCCACGCGGCCCTTCTAGATCTTAAGGGGTACTTTGTAGAAAACAAACCTCTCCGTGGTTGAAAAAGTAGCACAGTACTGTAATTAGACCTCCTAGTTGAGTCCCGCTGGTGAAAAAAAAGAAAAACGAAAAGCGTACGATCACAGTTCATGTAAAATACAGCTGAGTTTTCACACGGTTTCTCATTCTTACATTAAAGATTCCCCCCTATTTAAGTAGAAAACTTCAGACGCACCCTGCAGGCGACGTTTTAATCTTGACCGTACAAGCACATGAAGTGTAAACACAACCTGACTTGTGTAACTTATTACATTCAGAATAAATTCTAGATAAACTATCTCAGGTACAAGCACCAGGTAACGGCCGGCATCGGGCCCGGATGTCAGAGCCGTGTGTGTTCCCTGAGCACCTGAGGGGGCCAGCTCCACCTTCTGAGGCTGGACTTGGCGGTCAGGAGACGAAGGACACGAGCCTGCAGCTTCCCGACATGGCAGCCTAGGGCCGTCTGGAGGGGAGCCACACACCCCCCCCGAGCACCC